AAAAAAAAAAAAAAAAAAAAGACGAGCTATTTTACTTATTTCAAACTGATATCTCAACTCAAAATTTTAAGATTTTATAGAATTCCACAAAATCTTAAATTCATCAAATAGCTCTTTTTATTTCAATGGCATCATAACTCAATAGCACAAAAAAAAAAACATGGAATATACATGGGGAACCCCCGAATCCTAAGCACCTGAGAAGCCAAGTACCAACAGTACTGCCTAATCGAATCACCAAACCAAAACAGAAATCGTACCAATAATATCCATCAAATACATAAGACTAGCAATCTATCAGATACATACACAAACTGAGCATAAGTAAGAAGAAAAATACAACATTGACACTAGACCTAGTCTATTTCCTTTTGATACTCTTAATTCTTCAGCTTGCTTCTATTGTACTCGAGTCACTCCTGCATTCATCATATTTGAAATAAATACACCCTCATAATCATATTTTTTTGCCTATCTCATTTCTTCCCTAGATATGAAAAAAAAAAAATAGATTTTTAATTTTTTTAAAAAAAGTTTCCAATTACTTTTTTTTTTGTTTAACACGAAAATTACATTAAAATAAAGTTAATTATTATATAATAAGTGTAGAATATAAAATGTTAACCTCTACATATTTGGATATTTGGCTCTTGAATAAAAGATACGCATAAATTATTCGAAAACGAGTTATACATTCGAATTTAGAAAATTATAACACATATTAAACAAAACTAAGTACAATTAATATTTTAGATTCTCATAGACCTTCCTAATAACGAATTTTAAAATATCTTGAATTTAAGAGATAAATATATACTATTTGGAATTTACCTAAAAATCTACAAAATTGGAATCAAGTCGACATTGTTACATTTCTTATTACCTAGAATAAAACAATGAATATATCTCATAATATTGTTGGGATTTTTATAATCCATCAATCGGAAATAATTACACATAGAGAAAATTTTAAGGATATTCATTAAAATAAAACCTTTCTTTTTATAATGTTGATTTAGTAAAACGAGTATAAAAATAAAGTCGGTATTCTAAAATCAGAACCATTAGAAGCAGTTAGACATGCTATTTCAAAA